CCCCAAAACCCCAAAACCCCAAAACCCCAAAACCCCACTAGGAAGTAAGAATATTTAAACTTAAGATTTTGTATTTAATATTAAAATGAACAAGTCTCTTCAGCCTGATAAGAATTACTATCCTGTGGATGTTCCAGTACCTATGATTCTAAAGGTGATCCAATGTGTCCTTCCCTTCATTGTTATTGGAGCTGGAACTATTCATTCAGGAGACCACTTTGTAGGCTTCTGGTGGTTTTATGGAATCAATTGCATTTTGTTCCCTGTTATTATGATCAACTTTACTCCATTTTACACACAAGTTTGGAGAAGAGTCAAAGAAACTTACTTGTGGCCAACTCATAATACATCAGATCTGTTCATTGCTACTATTTTAGGAATCATTGGCTTCTTCCTCAGTTTTCTATCAGGATACTTAGACAGAGCTTCTGAGTCTGGAATCTTAGATGGAGTTAAAGGGGTCAGATCAGAAATGGGAAACATTGCTCAGACAGAAGAAAAGCTAAGTCTTCTCAGGATTACATACATCAGTAAACTACTTATTGTCTAACCTTTAGTCTTCTTCGTGCTCGTCACTGCCTTTGGTAACCCCATCTTTGAAGAGTTCTACTGGAGAATGTTCACTCTTGAGACCTTTGCAACTGATGGCAAAGTCGATACTCCCACGTAAGCTGTTGTGGTAATTCATAGAGTGAGATGGGTAACATCAATATTTTACGGAGTGTATCATTTCTGGATACCCTTTACAGACCAAGGACCTGTTGCAGGAATCATCTTTGCAATAGCTGTAATAGCCTATGGATACCTGCTTGTCCACCAGAGATTGACAGTTAACATGTTCAATGCATTACTGATCCACCTTGGAATGAACCTGGGACAACCATTCATGCTTTATTTCCAAAGAGTCGTATCAGTAACCATCGTTTGGGCGAAATAAAAGCAATATTTTTTGGTTCTGTAAAAAAATTAAAAAAACATTATTTGTCACGACACTTTTTCAGCTAATGATATTTAGGTACATATCAATTTGTCATACTAACTAGGGGTTTTGGGGTTTTGGGGTTTTGGGGTTTTGGGGTTTTGGGGTTTTGGGG